CACAGGAATAACTCAGTAATAACACAGGAATAACACATTAATAACACAGTAATAACACAGAAATAACACAGGAAATACACAGTAATAACACAGGAATAATTCAGTAATAAAACAGGAATAACTAAGTAATAACACAATAATAACACAATAATAACACAGAAAGAACACAGTAATAACAGAAATAACAGAAATAACACAATAACACTGCAATAACACAGTAATAACGCAGTAATGATAACACAGGAATAACACAGGAATAACACATTAATAACACAGGAATAACAAAATAACATAGCAATAACACAGTAATAACGCAGTAATAACACAGTAATAACAAAGAAATAACACAGGAATAACACAGTAATAACACAGGAATAACAGGAATAACACAGTAATAACACAGGAATAACAGGAATAATACAGTAATAACACAGGAATAACACAGGAATAACAGGAATAACACAGTAATAACACAAGAAAAACACAGTAATAACACAGGAATAATTCATTAATAACACTGCAATAACACAGTAATAACACAGCAATAACACAGTAATAACACAGTGATTGAGATAAATTGAAGTGAGTGACAGCTTTTTAGTGATTAGCGTTAGATGAAAGCGCTATTTGCTCGCTTTCCAGGCTATAATCGATTCTGAATTTAAATAAAAGTTGTTTTACGTGCTGCTATAGGACCAACAGCCACATAGGCTACCCTGTAACTTGCATGCAGCAAAGTTTCAGGAGTGACATATTCCACATCCCTCATATAAATACGGGATTCACTTTCGAAATAGTTGCTTAGCCTATATCCACCGCCTCAATATATGGCAGGCAAGTATTTCAATTTAGTTTAAAAATCGCTCCTCTTCATAACATATGGATCACGTCCAACATATGTTATTGACTTTTCCCCACTCATGAACAACACATTTTCGTACACGATAAAAGCTCCTTGTGGTTTCTCGGTTTGGCCAAATTGAGCATCCATAAACAACGCAAAACACAGGAATTTCGAGTTTCTGCTAGTGATTTCTATGGAGAAAAATCACTTCCTGCCCTCCAGCTGCATTTCGCACGTCAGCAGTGACGTCATGTGCAAACAACCCATTACCGCAGGCATAAAACAAGCGAATATCATCAGCAAAAATTGAAGTGGTTTGAATGGCTTTACTGCAGGGCGGCGATCAAACGGACAGGGCAGCGCTTTTCACGAGCGGAGATCGCTACTAGACGAATCATGTAATTTGTTATTTTTATTATCTATGTTCTCTTTTGTCGAAAGTTATGCTATTACTCCAGTAATTTATTCTAGCCTATCCAGCGCTCCCTGAACGTAGTCTCTGGCTTATTGCCAGTCAAGCGCAACGCTGCAGAGACGCATCTATATCGACTTTGATCTGATCATAAAGTATTTCCGAATCACAGGGCTCACGTCCAAGTCAAGTCTCGAGTCATTGCTGTCAAAGTCTAAGTCGAGTCTCAGGTCTTCTTTAATTATGTCGAGTCGAGTCGCAAGTCATCAAATTTGGGACTCGAGTCCGAGTCAAGTCTCGAGTCAAGTGACTCGAGTCCACACCTCTGTTTATATATACATAATAAATATACACAGTACACACACAGACATATATTATGTAAACAAAAAACTTTTATTTTGGATGCGATTAATTGTTTGACAGCACTATTACTTTTATTTCTGTAAATAATATGGTTTATAAAAATCCGCGCATACGAGATTTACACATTTACCATCAGACGCTTGATCTTATTCTCCTCTCACGCACTCCAGCAGACGGCAGCAGACAAACACACAGTGGCACTGAATGACAGAAGAAGAACCCGTGAGATCACGTGGGAGAAACAAGCCGTCCTGCAGCAGGTTGCCCTTTTCTCTCCAGTACACCAGCACGCCTCATCTGTAACAGAAATGTCCAGGTTGAAGCTTCCACAGCAAAGAGTTTATATCCACCCCCTGCCGTCCCGGACCGCGAAGAGGCGCGCGGTCCACGAGTTCTTCGAGCAGGTGTGTGGGTCTGAAAAACCTTCTGGCCAAAGAAAACCCCGTGCTGAGTCGCTCTAGCTTAGGTGAGTTTGTTCTCATCCAGTAATGTGGGTTCTCTTTATATTGCTTAAAGTATATCATGTGTTTTCTGGTTTGCATTTCATTTACTTGTTTATTATTTGAAGATGTTGACCCTCAAGTCAGCCATTACTGGTTGCGGGGAGAACGGACTGTTGCAGAGGGCCACAGGAGAGGACGGATCGAGCCCATGAGATTCCAGATTGATGACAAACCTCAGTCAGATCAGGATCCCGCAGCAGCTTCCTGAGGTTACCTCGCATTATGTTCATGATGAACACAATTTGTGTAAATTATTTTAATCATGACTGCAGGCAGTGTTTAAATATGCAACTGTTTTACAGTGAAAAAGTCCGTGGTAATGTTGATTGGCAGTCTTGTCATGCTGCACTCGGGAGGAATAGAATTAATGTGTGATATGTGCTTAATAGTGATGTCATTTCCTGCAGTTTGTTCCTCTTGAGGCAGAGATCTCTGCTGATGTTCCTGTTATCACTTTGGCTCCTGACCTGCTCCCCTTGTTCAGGAGACAGTTTGACAACAACATCTTCATGGGTTGGTGTGTTCCAGTGTTTTTAGTATACTTTTTTTTAATATAATATTGTAGTATTTATGAATATTTTAAATTGACTTTAACATTTATATTATCAATTTTCAATGTAGTTTTAGCAGTTTCTAGTATTTCTATTTTGCTTTTGTGTTTTTATTTCAGATTTAGTGATTCAACTTATTCTATCTCACTTGCAGAGACAACATTTATATATTTTTTTATTTTTGTTTTATTTTCATCTAATGTTCACTTTATTTTATTTCAGCTTTATTTTGATTTACCAGAACTTATTTTTATTAGTTTTAGTTAACCAACTACGTTGGTCTGTTGCCAGGTTTTTGTCTTCAACTTCTAACTGTATAGGACTTCAATTTAGGCTAATAAACTATTACATAGAAAAATAAGTGTTTGCTATTAGAAATTAAATGTCATTTGATTATTAATAAAGTAAACTATTTTTGTGAGCACTGGTGTCTAATCACTTTGCTGTTGCCAGTTGTTCAAAAGCAACTGATAAGAACACTTGTGGTAAGATCACTTTAGTGCAGTGCTTCTCAACCAGGGGCTGCTAGGGGACCCCCAATAAATCTTTTTTTTTTAATTATTTAAATTTAGGTATATTAAATATTAAAATATTTATAAAAATGCTAATTATAAACAAAGCTTATTCACTTATATTACATCAGAGGTAAATAGCAACTTGCTGAGCCGACGTAGGGGTGTGCTATATATATATATATATATATATATATATATATAAAACGATGTTGTATATAACATATATAACATCGTAATTTTTGTTTAAACGATATGCGATTTGACATCGAGTATATTGCAGAAACCAAACAAAAACAAACCCAGAGAGTACAGGCATTCACTACATGAAGTAGGTTAGACTACTGTGCGATTTAGTCTATTCAATTAATTTTGAATTCCCCCAAAATTCAAGATAAGGCCGTATCACTTTTATATGTCCTTTATATTTATATCATCTGATATAGTTAATATCACATGACGAGTGACATTTTTCTCCAAATATCTTTTATCATTAGCACGATTGCTAATGTGATATTGATTTGATGAACAGCTCAATCAATAAGAAGTTAATATTAAGTGACTTACATTTTAGACACAACAGTTCTTGTTTTTGCTGTATTTCGACAACGGAAATAGTTCCAAACAAAGCCACAGCAGAACTGGGGCCCGTTCTTCGTACGTTGCTAACTCAGTTAGCTGGATTTGATTGTTGAAGATTTGGCATGATCTTGGATTATTTGGTACTTCGAAGCTCATCCCGGAGTTGCTGTAAT